CTTTCCGACGGTCTCTCTCTGTCTTCTCTGGCTCGCCCTCCTCCTTTGTGAACCAATACTACTGGTATCTCGCACAGTTTTCCGGCTGAGAAGCTCCGGCGTAGTGCCCGGCGGCGCTCTCCTCGCCACTTGCGTCCTGCAGCCGCTTTCTTGGAAAACAGAACCCCCACAATGCTATGGTCTAGCTCGGGCATTCGTCCCTGCCCGTTGACAGCAGGGGGTACTCCTGTACTCCTGTACGTATGCGCCCGTGGTACGCAGCGGCTGGTGCGTGCGCTGAAAATCCGGAACACATCTCATGGTCTCCGAAAAGATCTCTACCGGCACGCGGTGAAATGCGCACCGGTTCGGCACGTGAATCAAAATCTCGCCGCACGCAGAACCCGCTGTGGTCCGGTTGGCTGGTTTTCTCGTGGGGTCGGATCAATGCATCAAGGACACATGTGTTGCGGCGCCTAGAGAGCTGAAGGCAATCGAAGCTGGATGGGCGGGGACCGATACAATCCCAGCCAGGCAGAGCGAGAGCGAAGACTTGCCCGGGGGAGAGAAAAACTGCGAGTGATTTCGCCCTTCGCAGCGACTGCTCAAGCGCCGTGCTACTCCATCTCGTTCGCAGTGCCACAAGGTACGAACATGATTCCGCGTTGACTGTTCAAGTGTTGGGGTCGAGGGTTGTGAACATACGCCGAGAAAATGCCCCAAGCGAGACAGTCTATACTACAGAGGTATGCATGTTGTACATAGTCTTGGCCATGCGTCGATGCAAGTATACCCTAAAGGCTGGAGATGTACATAGTGTACAGCTGTAGTCTACAGCTTTGTGGCGTTGTACATGTGTGCGACATGTATCGAGATACGATGTAGACACATTGCTGCCACACTTGCGGTAAACGTCCTTTTGGCCCGTCGTTCGTTGTGGCAAACCTGCTTGTTGCGCGAGGAAGAAAAGTGCTGTCCTGCCAGACAGTGCATGTATGTATGCGTGTGTATGTCGTGTTGATACTAAATACTGCTGTATTATGAACAACCACCGAACAATGATGGGAACGAGGAACCGATAACTTTGCTCGGCTGACCACACAATCGTCGCTCCTGGGAACATTTGCGGCCCCCCAGTTTCCATCCTTTAGTGATGCCGCCGCATGGTAGTTCTGCCTCGGTTATTAATCATTCAATAGTCTAGACCAAAAGTATGTAGCTTTCCCACGCCCAGACCCTGAAGAGGGTAGGGTGCCAGAGCGTGGAAGCCACTGTTCGGTAACAGCGCGTGCTGTTCGCGGGAGCATTGGCAATGCAGCCAGACGGGTGACTCCCGAAACGATTGGTGCTTGGCGAGCTGGTGGGGGGGGAGGGCCCAGGCAGGGGGAAGCCGGAGCAACACTGGCAGATGTGCCTGAAGGACGACCTCAAGATGTTCGAGGCAGAGCACGGATCCACATACATCGAGCTATGTCTCTTCGGAGTTCTGCAAACAACGTGGATGAAAGCAGCGAAGATGGAGCGGGGTGTAACTTGGCATACGGCGGTACTGCAGGGAGCTAAGAGGTTCATGACCGCCTGACAAAAGGATGAAAATGAGGCTAGTCGACAACGAGCGCCACAACGAAACAACAAGCGCGGCAACAGCACGGGCACGGCAACACCCAATGGGGCAGGAGGGGTGCAGCAGACGGACGAGACGGCAAGGGAAGACAGAAAACGAGAAGAGCCGGACCGAGTGGCGCGAAATGCTGTGCCGGATTGAACTCCTTGATGGACGGACTAACCCCCACCCCCGTCACTGCATAATGGCACCAACCCCCCACGAGCGATGACGTGCCTTTGCTGTTTCGAGTGAACCGTTTTGTGTCATCTTGTGTTGTTTTGTTTTGTTTACTTGTCGCTACGGTAAAAGTGGTACTGGCGTATGTATGTCTTTCTCTGGGTCTTTCTCTTCTTCTTTTTCCTCTTCTTTTCTCGTTCTTTCTTTTTTTCCAATCTATGGTTACCATGCATAGCGTGTAGACTATCTGTCGCTGATTTCTATTGACTTGCCCCTTCGGATCCATTTTTTTTCGTGTGCCTTTTTTGGGTAAGTTTGACTGTGACCACGGGAATCGACCGCGTCAAGTGTTTGACTTGTAGGGACAGAAAAACGTGCTGGGTAGAAAGAATGGAACGGTTTTTAACGTGAAGGCAACAACAACAACAACAACAACAACAACAACAACAACAACAACAACAATATAGAGCGTGAAACGCGGGCTCGCCGTGGTTGTTCAGGGCGTGTGGGATGCGTGCGAGAAATTCTGGCACGTCGCTGCATCAGACGCTGCCTGCTGCCCTTCCTAGCGATACGGGCAATACGACCATCATCTCGCTTGCAAAAAACCGGCAGCGGATGTGTGGGAAGAGAGTCAACCATGCTGGTTTTCAACCATGGAGCGTGCGTTGAATGTCCGTTGCCATCGATTGCTTGGACCAGGAAGATTAGTGTTTTCGTGCCCTTTGGTGGGAGCGGAACGTGATTCCTGCAGAAAAAAGTTCGATGGAAGGAGTTTTGTCAGGTTACGGCGCGTTTCTGAACATCAGGATTCAGATCTGTTTCAGATGGAGAGGGTGTAAGGGAGAAAAGTATCAGGAGCGGCGGGTGTACCGCGTTCTGTGATTTTCGTGACTCCGGAGGGTGAAGGTGGCGTCGACCAATGGGCTAGTGTCATTTGACACTGATTGAAAGTATGCTCGAACCCCTCTGGGATAAGTTGTATCGCATATCACCTTATGTAATTCCGGACGGAGTGGCCATTTTAGAAACACCCACGATTTTTCTTTTTGTCGGGGTACGTGTGGCAAACGGTTTGACCATTGTATCCTCGGCGGCGAAATCACCCCGGACTAAGGGGTATAAAGATAGAACAATCAGACGACTCTTATCCGCTTTTTTTGGGAGCAAAAAGTTGCGAAAACAGTTACAAGTTTTTTTGCAACTTTTGATCGGGAACGTTTATCAGTAACACTTTTGGTGCACGCTCACTATGGGACGAAGGAAGTTTTCTTCACGGGACTGGTGGAATGCGACGGTGTTTTTTTTTTTTGCGCCAGGTAGAAGCAGGCACACCCCTTTATACAACACCGCGAAGAAACCAGCCAGAGCGTGCGGGAGAGGGTAGTTGCAACCTTTTTTCTCCACACTCACGATACCCCAAGGCATCTAACCTGGTACCAGAAAGATGCTGGGTAGAGCTACGTCCCTCGGAGTGACACTGCTGTTGGTATTGCTTCCTCCTTCAAAAATGTATCGCTGGAAAACCAAACCACGAGCACACAATCCCTGCGAACTTGAATCAACCGCTCTCTGACATGGGTATTCTAGGGTCAACCACAGCGATTTTGCCGACGCGCACGACACCCCACGGCACCAAACCTTGGCATGAAAGATGGCGCAGACAGCTACCTCCAGCGGAGTGGCCGTGATATTGCCGTTGCTTCCACCCTCGAAAAGTTATCGGTGGAAAACCAAACCCGTGGCGGTCACAAACACCGACCTTGAAGTAACCGCTCGCAGCCGTTGACGGTCGTGCGTCAGCACAAACTTTTTTTCCCGGCGTATTCGACACCTCACGGCGCCAAACCTTGACATTGCCCAAAAGCCCATGGCATTACCTCCTTCCAGATGCCATTCATGAGGCAACTCGTTAAGTATTCCTCGAGGTATTGGTGAACACGGTGCCTTCCAATGGAAGCTTGAGAGGGGGTCTACGTGTGTGGTAGGGGTAGGTGCTTGACGTGGATTGGCGGAAGTCTCGCCGTGTAACGTTTGTTCGACACCTTCGTCGAGAGAAACATTTTAACTTCTGCTCCAGATAGCGCGGCTTTCGTTCAAAGCAACAGTTCCAAACGCTTGGAGCAGCATCTTGAGGAAAGTGAAAAGGTTTTGAAAATTTGACTTTTTCGCAACTTTGTGCTCCAAAAAAACGTTGTTACTATTGCTGTCTCGATTACTGATTGTCTTTGATTTAATTGTTTGTTTCTTTTGTTGTTTTGCTTGGCATCGCGTACCGAGCGGGAGTGATGGACTCTCCTGCATTTTGGTAGTGTCGGGCATTCCTATTTTCTATTTTGTCTTCACTGCTTTGCTCGTCTCCCGGTTTGCGTTTGTGATTTGCTAGCGTGTCTGAGCGTTTTGTTACTCCTTTATTATTTCCGCTTTGATTTCTAGTAGGGGCGTGTACCCCTCTAATAGTTGTCCAATGACCGCGGATGACGTCCGCGGCAGTTGGACCGTTACATGTGAGGGGAGATACTGAGAGAGAGATTTTTTTTATGTCAAGACACAATAAACAACAAACAATCCGGGTGACTGGTTTTCGTTCAGCGTAAACCCTGCTGCTTCGTCTAAACATTTTGTCGTTCGGCAGAGTGGTGACCTACGGGACCTCCGAGGGGGAGTTGCGGGGATCGGGTGGGGTATGATCGACACGACGCACGAGTTTTTCTTCGTCTCCCCTCATGTCGCTCGCTCGTTCATTGATAACGGTCTTGAGTCAACCTTCTTTCTCGTTTGGCCTCCGAGAAAAGCTGCTGACGCCCACACAGATTATGGTGCACGCACGACGACCATGAAAATGTCGACCATGTAAACCACTAGGCTGCGCTCATGAACTTGAGCCGAAATTTCCTTCTTCCTTGCCGTTCTCCTGAAATCTCGGGTAGATAGTCTTTCTCAGTCACCCTTCACGTGGTTTCGCACGTGCTTCGCTGCTCGAGCTGTTGTAGGACTCAAAGCTGTCCTCGCCAGCATAAGGTGACGTGCGCGTGTGGACTTGCCCTGGTTTCCCATATTTTGGTGTACGGCATTTTGTCTGGTATTGTCAGCGGGCGTCAATGCGATGTGCTTAGCTATTTCTCTGCCGAAAATACTGAGCATTGCGATCACGAAATGCAACCCCTTCTCGGTCGGTGTTTCCTATACCCTCGCTGGTCGTGGTCGATCGCGAAGCTTTGGCGAAGGTGCTCCTATCATGGGCGACAAGTTCAGATGCTACGCTGGCAATGGCATCGATAGCGGTGGCAAAAGCGGCAGGCCGTCGACGCTGTCCGTTGGGCTGGGAAGCGGTGCTCGGGGCGGATTAGTCATCGCCACCGACTCCGGAGATGGGATGGACGATGGAACGAAGTACAGGGACCTTGTTTGGGTGCCGGACGGCGAGAAGGTACAATTATCATTCACTTATTTCATTGCAGTTTGTACACGAACTCATGCGGTAGTCCACGGACGGTGGGGTGCTCCCTAACACATACCCCAGCCCTTCCAAACCAGCACATCTCTTCGTCGTGCTTTACAGCCCGGACACTACAGAAACCCATGTATCTTTTCATGACGGTCAACGCTTTAAGTACTATACGTATTTGTTTCCACGCATGCGTTCACTCCATATAGTCGGACGATCGTTTGGGCGTTGCACATCGAATGCTTGCCGTACTGAAATCCTGCCCTGTTCATTATTGAGCCAATAGGTGTGGAGGGCGGCGAAAAAGGTGGCAGGGAAAGAGTGCAGCTCGCCTTCTCGCAAGAGATCGCTGACGGCTTCCGCAGGCGACACCGTGTGGGTCCACACGCCGACGCAGGACACTTCCGTCGAGGTTAGTTAGTGAGGTTTTCCACCGCTCCACCTCCATCCTCGACTGCCGGGTGCTACAACCTGAGCCTTCGCCGTTACTATAGACGCCAAGCCTCATCCGAGGATCCCGCGTGCTGAAGTCAGAAAATGCATGGACTGTGGAACCGTGGGGTGTCCCCTGAGACGGGGGAGATGTAATGTCCGGGTCTAGAACTGCTACCGAAATATCTTTCTTTCTGCCCCGCCGTCAGCTTTAGCGGAGGAAATGTTTTTCCAGCCTGCCATGCGAAACCGCACTCTCAACATACTTACTACAAACGTGACCCAGGTGCCCAAGGATCAGACCCACGCGTACGACCCCAGCCACGCGCTTGATCTGGACGACGCCTCAAAGATGAACCAAATGCACGAGGCGCCGCTCCTAGACCTGCTGCTGCGGCGATTTCGAAAGGTAGGTCTGAACGGGCATGGTTGTGCGCCATCATGTTTCGTTATGCCTTCGATAGTGTCGTTTTTCGTGTTGTTTGAACCGCTTCGAAGGATTCGAGCCCTTTTGGAGGATCTTTTTTTGTGATAAATGGCATCATTGATTCAATGGTTTGGCCGGGGCAAAACACGCGTGTTGCATTTGGTTAGCCTGCGTGTATCGAGCAGTGTACCCACCTCAACATCGTCCGACAGGTCGATGAAAGTCATACGTTCTGCCTACCAGGACATCATGATTTCCCTCCACTCGTGATACCGCAACGGCATATCACTGCCAAACTTTGCATTGGTGTTCTCGCTATCTGTGCCCGGGGTGTGTTTGAGGACTGTTGTTGGACCTCCACCAGAGCTTCGCATCGTGCGTGCTGAGAGTGGAACAAGCAGTGCCTTCGACGCGAGGAATTTGTCCACGGCGAAGAGTTGTTTTCGCAACGACTCTTTCTTTATGACCGCTTTGGTGTGGTCAAACAGCTCGAGATCGAGAGTTACATGGCACGTTAATGCCTGGATGGATGGCGTCTCGACATGTCGTGCCAGGACGTAGAAACGAAGATTACCAGCAAACTGTACAAATGATGTCCTCGCAGAATTTTCAGCGCAGGAGGCTGGCTTCCGTGAAAATGTCCATCAGTTACATTTGCCTTTGTCGCGTACACCGACGGGTTCCAAGAAGTACCACGGCTCGCTTGGCATTTATGTACGTGTGCACTCTTAAACAGTTTTCAAGTTTAGCCCTACTCCCAATTTCAGCTGGTTCCCGATGCAATTGGTACTGTTTTCTTGTCGCCCCATTTGTTCTTTCCCCACCTCCACATCAACTTCACTGGATTTTTCAGTCGATCTTCGACGAGTCCGCACCATCACTGCAATGACGCGTTTTAGGCAACCTTGTCTAAAATACTCCATCTCGTTGCTTTTTGTGACAGGATGCTATTTACACCAGCGTGGCCGACGTTTTGATCAGCATCAACCCCTACAAGAACATCCCCCTGCTGTACGAGGTTCCTCTGCATCAGATGCAAGACGAGCCGGAAGACGAGTTTGAAGAGAGCGATGGCGAACGAGAGGTCTCACACGCGTTGTGATTGTCCGTTGTTCTTTGGCGAGGGGGAGGGAGCTTGCAGTTTCTTTTGTTTTTCTATTCCAGTGTATTGGGCTTTCCCCTTTTGCCGCGGAAGCTTGGTCGGCGGAAACCTTCCTTCCTTATCATTGGTGATGGCCACAGGGTGCGTTTCGTCTCGCTGCTGCAGTGTTGTCCCGTCCGTATGAATCATCAATCTCGTAAAAAAACGAGTGGGTGCCAATCTTACAAAGTAACTACGATGAAAACACGAAAAGGTACTTGGTTTGTTGGATAGGTGCCGAATGTTCCCCAAAATCGTGGGTTCGCTGTTTTGCTGTCCTATCGAGCGTGTCCATGTGCAACACAACAGAGCCACCGAACCTCGGTGAAACAGGGGCTCCAGCTTCGTCAAGTAGATAGTGCCGCAACGCCAAAAGTAACGCGTCGTAGAGGGTGGAAGTCGTCCCCCGGCGTGGGTGCTTACATTGATGTCTTTGCGTGGTGGTGCACAACCAATGCACTCACCTCGCTGATGTTTGCAACAGGCACCGAGGGAAGGGAGAGGGCGCAATGGCCGTGCAAAGGATGCGCGTCCGAAGGCACTGAGCGACAAACTTGGCCAACCGCACGTCTTTTCCGTCGCCGACCGAGCTTTCCGGTGAGAACGGCAAAACTAAAACAAGTCCATGCGGTACGGTGATTGGTGTTCCAAGTCGGGAAAAATTCGGCTTGTCGGGTTTCGACGTACATGCACACGGGACATCGGTATAGAAACACGTCATTGAGCACCAAGACAGTGCCCAGCAAGATATTATTCTTGTTTGAGGTACAAGGCAACAACAATCCCGAGGCCGGGTTTCACAACCCCGGGCGCCTACTTCACGAAACGACGCACGAATGATGGCAACAAGGCTTGATCACAAGACGAGTTTCATTGTCGCCCAACTTCAGCCCTTATCATTTAACCGTCATCGCTTCTTCATGACGCACGCAAGCGGCTATAGCTGAGAAAAGACCGGTAGCCGTCCAGAATGGAAGCATGTGGAAACACGTGTACCTCATGCACATTTCAACGGTTCCTGCCCGCGTTGGTAGTATATTTGTTAACGCGTAGAAACGACTAGCCAAAAACACCTCGCCAACACCCACACCCCGTAGAACTTAACCCACAATCCCGCGCCAATGGTTGGTACACGGGCTGGCCCACGTTCCATGCATGACGCGTGGCCGAGGGATGCAGCACAGCCACGATAAGTTGCCGTCGGGTATCAAAGCCAGCCGGTCCGGATTACAGTCCTTCCCCACCTTCTGCCTCCACTCTCGCTACCTCTCTAACGCACATCGCCGCCGACCGCAACACATCGCACGTCCGCACCAGGTACATGAAGTCTCCCGGGGCGGAGTACACCCACGGGAAAAGGCGCGGAATGAACCAATCGATAATAATTTCGGGGGAGTCCGGGGCGGGCAAGACGGAAGCCTCCAAGCACGTCATGCGATACCTCATCACTGCCTCTCAGCTTGCCAACGGGGTCTCCCAAGACGCAGCAGGCCATGAAAGTAGCGACGGAGGTAAGTTGGTAGTGTGATGTGTCCTCCGCCTGAGGATGCCGAGCTTGCAAAGTTGTTTATACCCAAAAGTAGCAGAGCGCGAGTGAATTGCGGCGAAGTAGAAGGTGGTGCTGGTAGTAGTATCCGAGGAGCACCAATTATGATGTTGGGGGCCGTAGTTGGCGAAACACTTACCGCGAAGATAGTCCAAAATTCGACTGGTGGTAGCGAGGGCGAGAGGAAGGGGACGGGAGTTCACTCGGCCTGTATTTCGTGGCGAGCGCATATTATTCCTTGAAATCGTACAGCGCATCGGAGAAATTTTGAGTTCAAGAGACCAATGAATTCACCTTTTCCGCCCCCATACGGCCTCGTGCTTCTTTTCCCCACATTCGTGTATTGAACTGCACTGTTTCTATCCATTCCGTGGACATCGAAAAAGTTGAGGCAATGGCGAAGAGAATTGAAGCCACGCTGCTGAGGAGCAGCACCCTGCTGGAGGCCTTCGGGAACGCCAAAACCCTTCGCAACGATAACTCGAGCAGATTCGGTGAGGGACCACTTCTCGTCGATCATGTGGCCTACCTGCAATCTGTGGATCTGTTGCTGCTCGTTTTGGGCGCGGAGAGACGCGCGTGCCTTTCAAGCATCCGTCCGTGCACAGGGAAGCCTTGTCCTTCTTCCAATCAAGCCTGTTCTAAACATTACACGTGGCCCTGTCGAAGTGGCAAGCTCGCCTTTTTGAATGACCTTTCGACATCCGTGAGTAGCCTATCCTCAATCCACGTTGCTTGCTTTCGCTGTGCCGCTGGTTGATATGATGACACATGCTCACAGGTAAGTACATTAAGCTCCTGTACGACCGAGACAGCCGCCTTATGGGCGCGTCGACCGATCACTTCTTGCTGGAAAAGTCAAGGCTCGTCAAGGTCGACAGCGGCGAACGGGGGTACCACATCTTCTACCAGGTGATGCCCAAGAAACCGCCTTCCCAATGAGGAGGAAAGCACAAACAATCGACCGAAAAAAACATCAAAAACTACTGCCACGAAAGATGTTGTTTGTTGTTTGTTGAACAACGTGCCCGTTCGGGGGAAACTAGTCACATTCCTTACCCCCAAAAATTGCGGCCAGGGGGACGATACGGCTTCACAGCTCTCGTCAGGCAGCAACATTGTAACTTCGTCCCATGTCGGGACTCGAACGAGTCTACACCATTCTGAGTTTCTCCTGTACACCTCCCGCGCATAAATGACTCGTTGGTATTTGTTCTTGTGCTCTAACCACAGTGTCCGATATCTCTCTGGAACGTGTCCGAAGCAAACCATTTCCGTTTCCCACGAAGTGATAGTTTACCGTGATTTCTGTCTCTACTCCCCGCAAGCGTGACAATTTTTCGATAACTAATGTCGACAGATGCTGGCTGGACTAGACGAGGCCAAGGCTGAGGCTCTTTCCCTGGCGCCTGCCGAGGAGTTCCACATGATATCCCAGGGAGATTGCGTCGCTATATCGGACGAGGTCGATGACCGACAGGCAAGACACGTCAACACGGTTAGGATACGATTGATATCGTACCAAAAATTCGAACTATCCCTACGCATTCGAGTTACTGTAGCTCCTGAGTTAGCTTCAGGTGCTACTTGCGTCATGTTAACTCGTTTGGGCCCACCGAGAAACGCTGACGTTCGATCGAATTTTCCTTCCGAATCTTGCAATTCGTCACCCTGTTGTTGGTTTCGCTCCAAAGCACGACATTAGCATACCAACTGGAAAATTTGGGGTAGGTTGCTCACAAAGTTCCCCCGTCATCCCGGTTGATTCCCGGTTTGATATCCATATTGTGAGAAACGTCTCGAGACGTCCCGGGAGGGCTCCCACTGCATACACATTCGCGGGGGCAAATGCCTCGGTGTTCGCCGGGGGCATAGAACCAAGAGACGTTATCGGCCGGTCTTTCTGTTGGCAAGGTACGACGCAAGGTTCGACAACGAGGCGCCTCCCTGTACTCTTGACCACATATTCTCGTGAACACAAAAACAACAACAACAACAACAACAACAACATTAACAACAACAGGAGTTTGTGCAGACGGAAGACGCGATGGAGACACTGGGGTTTGAAGCGGAAGACAAGGCGGCTGTGTTCCGGGTGCTGGCAGCGCTTCTCCACCTGGGGAACGTCCGCTTCGAGGTGCGTGGAGTGCTGTGTGCTGTATTCGTGCACAAGCCACACACCACGACTGGTTTGACCGACAAAGCATATGCTGAGCTATGCATGTTGAGGCATGTGGGATGGTGGGAAATTCAGCTGACACACGTAGGGGACGCGCGACTGATGCATATGCATGCGTAGTGCGCACGAGGCTTTGAAATAGGCGAGTCATGGGCCTTCGGTCAAGTACAATGATTTCTCTACACGGTGTATTCAAAGCTATCGAGCCCAGCGGTGGACATGGGGCTAGGCATGCGCGTTAGCCCTTCATGACGAACGGTGTGCTGAATCTGTCACACCTCGAGGTGGGTGATTGGAAAGTACTTCGAAAATTCCACTTCATGTGCATACACCAAACCCATATGTACTATTGCAGTCACAAGAGCTTGCAGTATTCAGAGCCGACCGGTACCCTAGGCCGTCAATGCTTGTCGGCTGACAGCTAGCTCGCTCCGCTTGTTTCGTTTGGTCTGTTCTAGTATTGGAACGCTTCCTTCAGACTGCCCGAGGACAGCACTTCCGAGTGAGATGACAAGTACTTAAGATCGCCCGTTCAAAGCCACCGATGCACCTCGGTGGCCTCGCGCAAAGCCATGCAATAATAACCGACCCGGGAAATGTTCGGAACACTAGAGCACAGAACTCTCCGTGGACAAACATGAAGGACCACCTGCGAAATGTAACAGCGATGCGTGAACGAATGCGCAATCGTTCCGCCCCTCCCGTGCAGGAAACGGAATCCCCGGCCCAGGGAGGAGCGAAGGCCAAGATTTGCAGGGCGGATTCCAGCCTTTCGAGCTCTAATGACTCCTCGTCCGGCGAAGGGGCTGGACTGGCCAAAGCCGCGGCACTGTTGGGGCTTGACGAGGACATTCTGACCAGAAAGGTGGCTCTTTCCTGCGGTATTGGGATACCGGTCCCCTGCTGATTTATCTTGCTTCTTCAGTCGGGTTGTTGCAGGGATTTTTCACCCACCATATGTGGCGAGCACGGGGCGAGGCGAGAGTACAAGTAATAAGAGGCTACTAGTGGTGCAAAAATCAGCGGCAAAGTTTTTCCTGCTGTTCCAAGTATTTCATGGCCCTCTCGTACTTATTTTATCCACCCTTCAAGGTTATGTGGAGGGCCATCATGGCGCCGGGGAAGTCGCTGCATGAGATCGCCCTCACCGCGCGCGAGTCTAGCGACAACCTGTCCGCCCTGTCTAAACACACCTACGGCAAGCTCTTCACCTGGATCGTTGCCTTCATCAACCGCTGCCACCAGCAGCACGTCCGCGGCGTCACCCTGGACAAAGGTGTTCAAAGCAACAGAATGAATCATGCAGAATATCTCGTTGCTGTGCGATCACATGTTTTGCTAGTTGATTGGTAGACCCGTCTCCCGGCGTCATCAACCATCGCTTTCATCAGAACATCGTCGACCTCACAAACACCGTTACATCGACAAGCATCAAAGGTGGCCCAGCCCAGAACGTTTATGCGGTACGAGTGACATGCTTTCACCGTCACCATATCGTAGGGTGTCCGGTGGCAGCATCTAACGAGAAGCAAGGACAGGAAAGTGGTCCTGTGGAGTGTGGTAGTCGGAGTGGGTCTTGGCCAGGACTTGTACTGTCTGCTGACGTTATCTGCGGGAACCAGATGTATCACGCAACAGAGCCTTCCGTAGCACGCACCCCAAGCCACGACTGATCGTGGCATAGAGCGCACAGGAAAATAATATTGCACGCACAGCCAGGCCGGCTGTGATAGAACATGGTTACCGAGAACGACTAGAGGGGCCCGCCCGCGATTCATGGTCAACGTGCCCTGCAGAACGGATCCTGGCGACAGCTTCGTTGAACAACCCCACGACTTTACAATTAATATTTCCGATGACTCTTGATGCAGGAGCAGCCGAACTTGCTGGGATCGGTGACGACGAAGACAAGCGGTCCTCGTTCATCGGCATCTTGGACATCTTCGGCTTCGAGATCATGGCGACCAACAGCTTCGAGCAGTTGTGCATCAACTTCGCCAATGAGGTCCTGCAGCGCCAGTTCAACCACCACATCTTCGTGCTGGAGCAGGCAAGCGGAATCAGATGATATCCTACGTTGCTCACTTTCGCGGTGTACTCATTTATCAGGCGGTATCATGATTCAAGGAAAGGAGATCTTCGGGGTTGGGTGACTCTGCAGACACCCATTTCTCATGTTCGTCTTACGCCGTGTCGAGGAATGACGTTGCAGAGAAAGCCAACGGAACAGTTGCTTGCCGCGTTGCTGCGGGTTCGAGTCGTGCTTCAGCCGTCACGTTCGCGCTGGAGCATATAGAAGCCGAAATCAAACCATTGGACGAGTCGACATTAGACTATTCAACGCTGACTAGTCAAATGGTTTGATTCCGGCCTCTACAAGCTGGAATCACCGCCTATATTTGCGTCTTTGTGTGTGCTCACATCCTTGGAAATCAATCCACGACCACGCAGCTGTTTAGCCCCATTGCCTGTTCGACGGGCTTCACGTTTGAAAAAATATCGCCTCAGGTCTCACAGAGGCGACACCCGTGTTTCGCCTATTGCCTTAGCACCCGCACTATAAAACGTTTTCCTGTCTTCTCCGTTCGACCTTCGGCAGGAAGAATACAAAGCGGAGGGTCTCGACGTGGCAGCTATCCCCTTCAAGAACAATCAGGACATAATCGATTTGATTTGCAAGAAGCCACTCGGCCTCATGATCATCCTCGAGGACCAGGTGAGAAATCAAGGGCATAGCTTTCTCGTGTCCTCACGGGAACCCAACCGCACCGTCCACCCACGCGTGCCCCCTGCCCCCAGATTGAAGGCACGCGTCGTTCGTAGCCGGCCCCTGTTCATGTCCAGTAGACTAGTAGGCGCGAACAGGACATACTACTCGACACAAGTTGGGGGAGAGATGAAGTTCTGAGGCTAAATAATTACTCCGTTTGTGCGAAAAACAAGGAAACCTACACCCTCGCTTTCATTGCTCTTCCAACCCCAATCCCTGGCACCCGGCTCTTCCCTCACTGCTCATGGAACTCCCTCCTACGAAACAAAACGCTTGCATAGGTGCTCACTGGGAGAAAGGCGCATGCGATGAACAAGCTCGATGACAGGAGTGTCCTCGACCTCTACCATCAGGCAAGCGAACGTACCGATCGTACTGGGGCCCGTCTCAAGTGCTTGGCATTCCTGTTCTTCACGTCCTCATGAAAATGTTCTATCGGTTTTTACTGCCGGCAAATCGTTTCACTAAACTAGGCAGCCGGACACGTTGTCGCTTTTTTTACGGCGGCTTCGGAAAGCTCACAAATATGGCATGGAATTTCTCGCACATTGATGTGTTCGGAGAATCGCATTTAGGAAGCACGTTGTGCGCGTTAGACGCTGAAGCAAGCTTTGCACACATCCCGCGCACATCCGAACCACGACATTCCGTCCCGAACCCCACGAAACACCAGGAGCATCACAGGAGAAACCCACACCCGAACTACGAAAAGCCCCGCATGCAGTGTGACCTGTTTACCCTGAAGCACTTTGCTGGAAATGTCACCTACGACGTGGCTGGATTTTTGGAGAAGAACAATGACTCGCTGCAGGTATCAGAACGGGGGGACGTCGGGGGGAGAATTGGAACCGTTTGGCTCTTTTGGGGTTTCGAAGACAACTTTGGAGGGTGTCGGAAGTTCACGGCCATACCCGTATGATATAGGTCAATACCGTGAATCGTTAAACCCAGGGGCGATAGTTGAATGATACCGAAGTCCACCTCATTTGGTTCAACCTCAAGATGAAATCTACCCCGTTCAACGCACCCCCTTTCTCTGTCAAGAACAGTGACATGTGGATCTGTTCAACGCAACACCACGCCCTTACAAAGCGGGAAACAAAACGTGAAAGTTTATGAACTCAGACGTAATACTGTATACAGAGATGTAATTTTGTTTTTGGGTCTTTGAGATTCACTTGGCTCTTCGAGCTTGGGAAATGTCTCAAATGGATGCTGGTAGCCAGCTAGCCGTGGGCTGGTCCTACTGCCTGCTCCTCTTATCATCTTGCGTCACCCCTAGATGGCACTGCTGTTCTCTCATGAGCGCACTCCATTGGAATAACCTGAAAACCCTAGCATTTTTCCCATCCTTCAGGACGACCTTCGTGCCCTCCTCCTGGACTCCGAAGACGACTTCGTACGGGAGCTCGCGGACATCACCCCCACCGTTCCGGACGGTCAGCAGCATCTCACTCCCCAGAACTCGCCGGCACGAGTAGGCGTTGCCTTTCGCGGGGCTGATTCTCCTCCGTCCCCTCCCCCCCGTGGTGGCCTTGGTGGCCGCTACGAGAGTGAAGGGCAAGGCGGGAGATCTCCGGTGTCCGACAGGAGGCAGAGCCGCCGAGAGAGCGAGAGGTGGGGCGGGTTAGCCAACGCCACGACCGTGTCCAGCCTCTTCCGCAGGTGCACCAGTTATTCTTGTCTTCCGAATTTCCATTCATCCTTGTCATCCCATGCGCCTCGTTCGTCCATGAGGTGTCCTGTGCTCACTCGCTTCGTCGTACAGTTCGTCGTCATACGTTTGCATTATTCGTGATATTATTCATGTGTTTGACACGCTTCTAGATTACCGAGTATCCCATCTACTCTTCTGGTGATGTGCTCACAAGGACGGCGAGATGGCAGCAAAAACGCATAGAGATGGAGGTACAAAGCCATGACCACGCGAAGGGATCTCACCAGACATCCTACCCGATTCGTAGAGGGAGGTCTTCGGACATGAGATGCAGCGCCTCGCCTGAGCAACAAGCGCTCGCTTGAGGTATATGAGATGGAATGGATTGCCTGCGCGAGACGTGACAATCAATCACGCTTCATGGTGCAACTGGAAGCCCCGACACGTAAACCGTGTTGCGAAACACTTTTGCAGATTCAAACAAGTGACAACGAGCGACACATTTGTGCCGCCTTGGTTGTTTCTTCCAGGCAATTAGACAGCCTCGTGATGCAGCTTGGGCAAACGGAACCGCATTACATCAAATGCATCAAGCCAAACTCTGCGAAAGCGCCGGGCGGTTGGTCTAGCCCCCTCGTCATTGATCAGCTGCGATACTCCGGAGTTCTTGAGGTGCGGCTCACGCATTTGCCGTCGTTCATTTTACCAGCGATTGGTGAAAGGTAAACCTTACTCGCATTCTTTTTTAAATCCTTCAGCCCAGCCTGTCGACGTGGATTAATGAATGGCACACCGCGATACGCATCTGTGTTCAAGAACACAGGTTAGCGTTTGTTCCACATCCCTTGCTCGAACCCCCCGGCGACGAAGCACCTCAGACAAATCGAACACCCGTGGAATTGAAACCCAACGACAGAATGACGCGGTTATCGCGTGCTTTGTGTCCATGACTTGTATCATCCGGGTGATTCTGCACCCGGCCGCACGGTGCAAGGATTTACGCTGCGTGTGCAACGATAAGCTATGCCGACAACAACACGATTAACCGCTAGGAAAATTCGTTCGCGTCAACAGACACTACACATCGATCACGTCTGCTTCTGCTTCCCCGTACCGAGGTATGTTGCTACCTGCAGTGAGTGCATGTATGGCGCACACCAAGCCGAAGCGGCGAAGAGAAACTGACCGTTCGCCAAACGAATCCCGGGCAACGACTATGTCCAGAAAAGGGAACGAGGCACGGAAACGTTTGTGGCCAGAAAATCGGAAGTATCACAAGAAGCCTGTGCCGAAGGGAGACTACTTCACGCCTCTATCCTTGAATTACCTAGTGAAGCACGGGATGACTTATCCAACTGTCGTTTCCCGAAGAGGTTGAGCCTCCGCTCAAGAACACGTCCCGTCGTTGTAAGGTCGGTACTACACCCTGGAAACTAGAGGAGCAACTACAATAGAACACCTCTCCCCGAGTCACGACTTCTGGTGGCCGGGAACGTCACGAAATACAGCGTCTGCACTAACTAAACCAGCACACGGAAAGATCAGACGAAAACATGGCGCTCGAAGCGGACGTGTCTCTCCTCGGGTTCCATGCAGTTGATTACTGTTCCATCTGGAGCCGTCGCTCAAGAAGTGATTTACCATGCAGTTGATCATACTGCTCCATCTGAAGCTGTCCCCCAAGAGGTTATGTTATTTTCCTTGGCAACAGTCCTACAATATCACCACTCTTAAGAATCGTGTTGTTTCGGGAGCAGGTCTTCGAAACCCGACGACCGTGTGACGGACCACAGCAGCGAACCAAACCCTGCGAAGGGTGCAAGTTACGCAGCGAATGATGACAACAATTATCGATGCCGGACCCACAGAACGTGGAGGTTTTTCAACGCTTCATCGGTTCCGTAAAAAAAAACGTCGCCGTCGTCCAACATGAAAAAAATAGGTGGTTCGCATCCGGCGAGAGGCATATCCGCTCAGGCTCGACTACGTAGAGATGTACCGCAATTTTCGGGTCCTCGCGGAATGGAAGGCCGGGGGCACACTCTCCCCGGAGACGTGCTCCGAGGAGGAGGCGCGCGTCATGTGCAGGGAGATCTGCAGCTTCGCTCTGGAACCGGACGACTTTCAGCTGGGTAGAACTAGGGTTTTCCTCAAGTGAGATACGACGAATCGTTGCCGACAGGGGGTGGGCAAGGGTACGAGGGGAGGGGAGGGAAAGGAGGGGGGACAAGGGCTAGGAACGAAAGAACCCGGTCGAACAACCACCAACCAGAGAAAAAGGATGCTGCTCCGTTGTCTGGGCTTAGATTGCGAAGCTCTCGATGGAGAAGAAAAAGGAAACAGAACGGGGAGCGAAGCCTAGCCGGCGTCGCGAGTAGCGTGGTAGCTATACGGCATTCTCATCCTTTTCCCCTGCCACCTTCCACCACCTGTTCGAATTCCACCGCATGCAAACTCGTCAGAGATAACGCGCTCGACAAGCTCCGCTGGGCGCTGCAGGCGAAGTACGTCTCCGCGGCCTGCAGCATCCAGGTGATGTATTCATGTGTCTCCTATTCCAATTCACTTCTCTGACAGGAGTCAAAGTAGTCTGGAGCAGCGGGGCTAAGAGCACGAGCTGCGGTCGTTCGCAAGCAAATCCTTCCTAGGATTGAAAAACGCCGCCATCCTCAAGCACGAGCTGGTACCGATTGGAAAAACGACTATGATGATAAGAGCACGCTACATCGTGGTTGGTGTCCACAAAGGTTCATCGTAAAGTAGGACTGCACAAGCACAGTCCCCTTCCGCTCCCTTTGCTCACATCTGCACAAGGGGTGTGCCCAGCGCAAGGGCTGTTCTGGACTAAGTTCATCGGCCAGCCCACAACTGCGCAGAATAACTTGAGCTTGCACCGGATCCCCCATTCGTGAGCATCCGTCACACCGCGAGTTTCACCTATGCCCGTGCATCGACACACCTCAAAACCTACAGGGCTGTTGGCGAGCACATGCCGCAGATCTCCGCAGGGCCAAAATCCTGTCCGCGACGCTTTCCCTCCAGTCTGCGGCGAGGGGTTTCGTCGCGCGAAGGCGTTTCCGAAAGCTGCGTGCATCGATGTCGTTGCAGGCGGCCGCGAGGAGCTTCCTCGCGCGGAACCGTCTGCGGAACGCTCTTCGGGAACGGGCGGAGCTGAGAGCGCGGGAGGCCGAGCGCCAGGCAGAAGAGACGAGGTAGATCTGGCCGTGAAGGAAAATTCTAATGGTTCGGACAGGCCTGTCTCGTTGGTTTCAGGTAAAGAGCAATAAAGACGGCGTCGTATTGGTCTCCTGGAGCCCTTCCGCCCAGCCAGGTCTAACCCAAGTTCCTGCCGTTCACCTTGCATTACGTCTGTTCGTACAGACAAAGACGGGCCTCGGCCCAGGTTCAGATCGCCAAGGTGGCGAGGGGGCTCACGCAGAGGAAGAGGCTTGAAAGACAGACCGCGGGCTCGACGGTGCTGCAAGCTTGTTGGAGGGGCTACAATACCCGCAAGACGTTAGAGAGTTCTAGGGCAGCCAGGCGAACCCTGGAAGGCCGTCGGGCCACCGAGCTGCAGGCGAGCTTACCACCTTTGGATTTGATAGGGTTCTGTCGCTGACATGTTCACAGGTTCCAGGGACTCTTCGGCCGCTTGGGATTGTGTAGCGCATGAGTGTCCTGATCGGGCCACGGCCATCGAGCAGCTGGCAAGTCCACGAAAATCTGTTTCTATATTGTTTTGTGAGCGTTTCAAACTCCATCGTCGTGTAGGAATAGTCCAATCTGAAATCCGTTCTCCCCTTCCGAGCGGGAAAATGACCGCGTTGAGCGCACTGACGGGTTCTGGGCGCGAGAACGAACCGCTGCGCTGTATTTGGAGGTTGCCGCCATCGGCGAGAGAGTTTCCACGAGTCCCAAACATGTCCTAGATGTCCCTTGAGAAAAATGCGGATTTCACACACTGTCCATCGTCAAGTCCTTTTTGCAAATGAAAAACGCTTCAAAGTGGGCAACTTGCTGGTGCAATTTCTCACAAATGGGGGCTTTCTCAGATCCTGTTCAGCTTGGAAGTGATCAAGTGCGCGAAAATGTCGTTCCCAAATACTCATCTGAACTGGGAAATAAGAAACCACCCTGAAAACACTTTTCGAACCGAAATGACGCCCCTGGCCGGGTTTCTGGCTTTCAACGCCCGTCCCCTTTTGTCAGGCTTGGGCACGTATGCTCCTGGCAGGGCAAGCCCGCACCCGTGCGCGGCGGGCGTCGACTACCCTTGCCTCTGCTTGGCGGATGCGCTCGGCCGTGGTATACAAGAAGCAGACCGTCGACAACGTTACAACTTTGCAGGCGAGAAAAAGTGGGGGAGGCGGGTTGAGTAAGGGGGATCGGGGAAAGAGAAGGCAGAGAAACGCATATACAGATGGAGAGAGAGCCTCTATGAGAACAGATCATATTGATACCCTTCCCCGGGAGACTGCACCCGATACGTTTAGAGGGGAGCGGGTGGGGGCAATGGAAGAAGTGAAACCCAAACGTTCAACGACGAATCCGCCGATTTTGTTTCTTCACAGGAAGTCCGAGTTGATACCGAAGCATGTGTTCGTGTGTACTGAAACTCGGTTCATTCGTATATAGTTTCTGTGTATTCTAGGCGTGAACTTCGACTTGTCCAAGCTCCCACGCAGCAAGCGACAACCCAAAGTCTCGCGACAAACCCTGATGGCGGGCAGGACAGTTCCATGCACGCAAGTGAATGCAATGCGGATTTCATACACTATCCATCGTCAAGTACTTTGTGCGATCGGAAATCACTTGAACGTGGGCAACTTGCTGGTGCAATTTCTCACAAATGGGGGCTTCCCACAGAGTCTGCTCAGCCTGGAAGTGATCAAGTGCGCGAAAATGTCGTTCCCAAATACTCAACTGGGAAATAAGAAACCACCCTGAAAACACTTTCGAACCGAAATGACGCCCCTGGCCGGGTTTCTGGCTTTCAACGCCCGTCCCCTTTTGTCAGGCTTGGGCGCGTATGCTCCTGGCAGGGCAAGCCCGCACCCGTGCGCGGCGGGCGTCGACTACCCTTGCCTCTGCTTGGCGGATGCGCTCGGCCGTGGTATACAAGAAGCAGACCGTCGACAACGTTACAACCTTGCAGGCGAGAAAAAGTGGGGGAGGCGGGTTGAGTAAGGGGGATCGGGGAAAGAGAAGGCAGAGAAACGCATATACAGATGGAGAGAGAGCCTCTATGAGAACAGATCATTTTGATACCCTTCCCCGGGAGACTGCACCCGATACGTTTAGAGGGGAGCGGGTGGGGGCAATGGAAGAAGTGAAACCCAAACGTTCAACGACGAACCCGCCGATTTTGTTTCTTCACAGGAAGTCCGAGTTGATACCGAAGCATGTGTTCGTGTGTACTGAAACTCGGTTCATTCGTTTTTAGTTTCTGTGTATGCAAGGCGTGCACGTCGACTTGTCCAAGCTCCCACGCAGCAAGCGACAACCCAAAGTCTCGCGACTAAAACCTGTATAGCAGGCAGGATAGTTCCATGCACGCACGTGAAAATAGTACTCTACGCAACACGACACGGCAGGGACTGGTCCGGGGGATGCTAGCTCGGCGTCGCTATGCCATTGCACGCGGGAGGGTAGTCCGCATCCAGGCGCTGCTGCGGGGCTTCACGAAGAGGAGCATCTTCTTGAAACAGGTTCGGCACACGCAGCCAACGGACTCTTGTGGAAGTCCCCGGGTTGTGCTTCAACCCGGTTGCTAAAGGCGTCTTAGCAAACGTAGCCACCCCAACCCTCAGTGATCGGAAGCGTCCACACTGTATCCTTCTTCGGTGGAGAATATGGAAACTTTGTGTCGAGTCCAATAGAAGATATACACTAGCTGCATTCCGGAGAACTCATTATTTCCTCCGCGATGCCGACAACACAGAAAAAGCGCCAAAGAATGAATGCGAAATTCTAGAGCAAATGGAGAAATCAGGTGCCGTCGCGCCGGCCATCCCGTCAGAAGGAGGGGAGCAAACACCACGCACGTCTGCCTGGTTTCTCCTGCGATTTATCTGGGGTGATTTTTTCAATTCCTCAACTTACACACCTGTCGGGATATGAACCATGTTACGCGTGTTTCTGCCCCTCTACTCTGTTCGTGTTTTCCGAAATGGTGCTCGTCACTCATTTTGTCGCACACATCCTGACTAGGTGCTGTTGGCGCCAAGGCTACAGCTTTGCATCCGGGCGTGGCTGCGGAACAGCAGCCTGCGTAAGAGTGTTGTTGGCGTTTTCGGTGCGGCAAGGAGGGGAGATGTGCGCGAGGTACGGTTTCCTCGTTACGTGATCCTTCCATTATCGTATATCCAGCTTACCCTAGCGAGTGCATAAAGGTATGTATTTCATTCCCCCCTCCTGGACTACTGCTGCGCTTTCCCTGGATCACCTGCAAAGCATTGGGCACGAGAGGTCCTGACGCAAAACACGGGTGCGGAGTGTGAAATCTCAGAGGGTTGTGTGAAAGATGTCGTAGCCAACGCGCGGTGTATTGGCGGGGGAGGTACATGTGCACAAGTAGTGCCTAGTGCGTTTCAAGTTGATGTATCTCAGCTGTGGTAATCATAGCACTATGGAGAGGTCGGGCAAGGAGCTGTTCGTCACAGGGCTCACTATGTTGGGGGACCGGCCGTACACGTTATCCTTAGTTCTCCTAATGGGAGAGAAATTCGCCATTCATTGGGTGTTCGGCTATAGGTCGTGCCCTTGCGGTGCAGACGGAAGGCAGTAGTAGTAGAGGGTCGAATGCTCTGAGAGGTATGACGCTTTGTGTTGCAGAAACCACGGCTCAAACGTTCTGCCTTGCTGAGGTTGGTACACTTCTCTTGTTGTTGTGGTTACTGCTTCCGCCGTTGTTGATGATGATCCTCTTCTCCCTGTTGTTGACGGTCTCATCAGGCCACGGTTGGCGGTTGAATGATGAACCACGGCTCCAATTATTCTGTCATGAAATGCTCGTCGGAAGCATTCACTGTATGCAGAAGCCGCCACCACTTAAGAAGCTCTCGATTCGCCACAAGCTCGTTTCTTTTCTCCTCCGTGGGGTAGCCGAAGGTTGTCTAAAGTGCACTTCCGAGAATAGTTGGTAGTGCAGGATTCTTGACTGAGCATCGTATGGTTGTACTTTTACTTTCCCTAAGATTCTCGACCCCCAGATTCATTTTGAGGCGGCGCGTACCGCGTGACCTATCCTACTGCTTCTGTCCTGCAGGTGGCCAAGATTATTACCGAGTTCCCGCAGCTATTGTACGTCCGAGACCGTTATGGGAGTTCCGGCGTGGACGAGATGTTTCCGCACGGCGGTGGTGACGGGGACAGTCGTGATGAGGACGACACCGAGGCAGGAGATAGCAACATGTCAGCTTCCATCAAGCCTTCCCGGTGCTTCTCTACCCTGCTGCATGCTGCATGCGAGGTGTGTTTTTTTGAAATGTATCCCTCGATTGACAACCCCTCTTTTCGGGCTTGCTGTTGCTGCGGCTGCGGCTCCAAAACTTGTGGAACCGGTTTTGTTGGTTCGCATCCGTTTCAGCTTGGGATGGGTCTAAACGGGTGTCGTTTTGTACAACAACCTGCCCCCCCGCCGGGCAACGTACCTACGCACACCAGGTTGCCCCGTACCAACGGCGTGATTGATGGTGTACAGAGCAAGGCAAGTAGCAAGTTTTCTTCTCCCTCCCATAAGCATTCCGGCTGTCACCCCCCGTCTGCATGCATCTGCTGATAATTTTGATCAGTCTGGAGTGATGGATGTGATCGCTCTTCTCGAGGCGTTTCCCGAAGATGTAACCGCCGTGGATACCAAGGGGAACTCCAGTGTACACGTAGCGTCCTCTGCTGTGGACTACAAGCTTGTCAAGGTATGCAGCACGGCACCATATTTCGTATTTGTTGCGATGCTTCAGTCTCGTGTTTGGAGGTCAACGGTTGACCGGGTGGTCTGGTGTAGTTTACGCTCTTTCATGCGTTGCGGGGGACACCAACAACGGCAGTATGGGAGAGAGATACATATGTCGCTTCTCAACCAGCTTCACGTTATCCTTAGGTACATGTGTTTGTGTCGGTGAATACTGTGCAGGACCCATGGAGAAAAAAATGGCGTCACGCAGGAGTAGCTGGTTTCCTTCCATTAACATGTTGTATACATATGGAGGGCAGAGGTAGGAACAGCTTGTGGAGTTAGGGTTGGAGCACAACAACATCTCGCGAGGAAAAGCCATCGAGACGGCCTTGGATTCAAGGAAAAGTCAATTATCCCACAAAAATTGTCATGTTTTCGAAGAATACCAGCAACAGCAACAGAAAAACGACCCTAGGGATAGACGGAAAGATCCTTCGCCGCATTTTAATAGGTCTAACGATTTCCCTGTAGAAAGCAAGATATCCTTCCACAACTAGTTAATTATCCACCACTATCTCAACCGGTTTGGATAAAAAAAAACTCGAATTAGGAGAAAAACTCCCTGTCGGCAAATTCGGAGAGTCGCCAAACCGGTGAGGTGTGCCCAATCGGAGATTATGACCCTCCTCGAGAACCGAGGCATGCGTTTCACAGTTTGTTTTAGCAGACGCAATGGAGAATGAGATAAATTCCACTTGCAAGAGTTGACCGTGTCGACCGGCTATTAAACGGTTTTCGGAACAACGCACCCGTACCAAGAGAAAAATGTGTGTTGTTTTTTCGAAGTATCTGGGCGACTGGAAATGTTTGGATCTGTTTGCGCGTGCGCCGTTGTCTATGCAATGATCAATATCACACGAAACGCTCTCGTATTCGCGCTGATCGTGCCAGTACCTGGCCAAGCGGAACAACATGGACGTGGAAAAAGCGCTAGTGGAAGAGAAGGATCGGTCCGAGCATGCAGAGCGCCTCACCAGGAGACAGGTGGGCCGTGGTTGTCGTCAATGCTGCCTTAAATCGTTCGCGAAACATTCTCGCAGCTGTTGCTGCTGGTTTGTGCCACTTGTCCACATCACACCTACTGTGAATATTGCCAAACAGTACATACATGTTCATCGTCGACTATGGGGCACCGATCGATGTTAACCACTGTAGGTGGGCACTAGCGTAAACGTGTTTCGGGCGGCCAGGCTGGAGCGAGCGAGGTGGGCGGCAGAGGCCAACGCCGGGGGCTCCAGGGGTGTGAGGGCGGCGAACAGTGGCCCCACCTCCCTGAAGGCGAAGCACTGTCTCATGTGAGACCTGTTCCAGATGTTTTCCTCTCCCCGTGTAGAACATCTTCGAATACGAGTGCACTCATTTTGTGGAACGTGTGTGTGAATGCTTTTGTTTCGTGACGCTGTGAAACGAGCCGCGTCGGCGTGGCTGTTAGGCTTGTTTCATAGTAGAGTTTCGTAGAACAGGCCATAAGGCACAAGTGCATCTAATGTTGTTCACAGAAAACGGCAAGGGGGGACGCAGGAAGTGTGGTCTTGAGACCGACACCCGCGTAGGTCTTGCTACAGTCATGAGGCGTGGTCGTTGTTTGCACTAGACGCTGGTCACGTCGTACTACCCGAAGGAGCAAGACGAGAAACTTGTTCACGCACCCATCCAATGCAATAGTCTATTTCTGAGGAAGACCGGCGTCGATCTTTTTCGTCGAGCCCATCGAAGACCAAACCGTTAGCTTTACAACAAGGGTCAGGTGCTGCTGTCGAACTCCGTACCAACGAGCACTTTGTGCTTCGTTCTTGGGTGAAAATCTTGTGCAGCAGTTTGACCGTCTGTCTGGTATTCTCAGGCCACTTCGCCGCATCCGTCGGTGTGAACAGTTTGCCTCCGAAGAGCGGGACTAGGAGTTATTTCGTTGTACTTTTTCATTCTCACTGCTCAATGAAGTAGTTTAAAGAGTCAACCCAGCCGCTCCGGCATGATTTTGCCGCGGAGAAGCTGTTTGTTGCGGTATTAAAATGCTGATGGCCGGCGAGTGCGTCAGGTCCGGATATCTGCGGAAGCGTCGAGAAACAGACCGCTGGTTGAAGCGCTGGTGCGTATTAACAGAGACGAGTCTCATGTACTTTCACAAGCCTACCGACGAGAGCCCTTCCAAGATCATCAAGGTGAGTTCTTTCGCTGTGTGGAAAATCGAGGTCGCACACAGAAACGTTCGAAGAGCTGCATCCCGTAGTCGGTATGTGTAGCGGTGCAACAATGCATTCTTCGTTCAGGTTAAACTGAAATAGAGAAACGTGTTGTTTTATTTCGCTGAGACGAAGCCGGGACCACAGATGAAAGGGAGGTGTAGAGCCTGGTGTGATTCCTTCCAGAGGTCAAGGTATTTGATATACGCAATACATCTTGATGAACAGCAACGGCCAGAAAGTCCTACATTGTGTCCCTAGAACTCAAAATCATAATATACCCAAAACAAGAAACAAACTACAGTATCTTTTCATTAGCGGTTCAGAATAAAATAACCACACAACAAGATATAGCTGTCCAGAGCTCTGGTACAGACCACCCAAATATTCTCGTGTACACAGCCAGTCACAGGCGGGTTGTTGGTACTCACAGACAGGGGTCAATCAAAGGTATAGCAAAAGGTCTGTGCGAAAAAACATTCCGGACACATACCCCCCCGCCGGAGGGGGGAGAAATTCGAAAAATTATCACGAATGGTCGAAAAGTTACCATATGGTTTAGATGGATTGCAAGCATGCCTCGCTCTCGTTACTCCTTCCGCATCTGCTCGTCAGAAGCCACCCCACGCTCAGCCGTGCTACAGGAAAACACGTACGGTAGCGCCCCATTCCTACAAAAGTACAGTACATTCGGCCAAAGTTCGAAATGAGCTAAGCAGCTCATCTAACCATCCAACACCACCACCTGCCTTGCAAACTTGCCCTTGCCGCTTCTAGCACTGCACAACAGGGAACATTGTCTCGCAAATCTACTCGTAGCCTTGGTCTTGTAGGGTTCCGTTTGACTTCATAAATCTAATCCTAACCCTAACCCTAACCCTAACCTAACGCCAAAGCGTCGACGCCTCGGGGGGAAACCCGGGGATACATGGGTATATGTCCTCGCCTCCCCCCCAAAAATCACCCCCCCCCTCCCCCCAAATCACCCCGATTTTCGATTAGTAGGCCTACGTGTCTTGGATTATTTTGTCGCACAGAGCCTCCCACAAACGCACTTTGCGGGGTACTCGGTCAACACTGAGTTTCTTGCTTAATGAATCCGACACCGACAGTTTCGCATTTAGTATGATGACGGCGACGAATTGGCATGAACATTGTTTTTGCAGCTGGACAAGGCCATGCTGAAGAAGTCCGAAAAGGTGGACTTTGCCTTCGAGATTCATACGCCCGACCTCCTCGACAAGAGGAACAAGGAAGGGAGGTTAGTTGTTGTGCGAGCACCACTCCGTAATGCCGCTGTTGCTACTGTTGCTGTTGCTGTTGATTTTGTGATTTCAATTGATGACACTTCAGGTCGGGTGAAAGAGCGCTCTCAGATATCTCCTTTGCGCCTACCGAACATACTTTTACCAATTTCATCCCGGCGGCCCGAATCGTCTTGTATATTTTTCATAGTTTTCTCCTATGCCCCGCTTCATCTCCGGTCGCTGTTTCCGAACAAACGAGCCCCTTTGTCGCGCGTGTAAGACGTCTATCTCTCTTGGTAGCCAACCTCTCGTTCGATTGTGCAATAACAACATCCCATCCATAAAAAATGTCGCAGGCTGCATTTTTCTTGTGCGGGAGAGGGAGAGCTGCAGCAGTGGCTGGTGCCCTTGCGAGTTGTCGTCGCTCTGTATCAGTTCAGGAACGACAAGCGCAGGTTCGACAATTGATGCGAAACGTGAACGCGCCTCTGAAGCATCTGACGGCGAAGAACCACACGCCAGGCCCACCTACAAGTTTCTGCTACTGTTGTACTTGCGCAACACACCGCCGGGTCCAGCGTTTTGGTTGTTGCTCCGCGCGCCCTCCCCCCCCGTTGTGGCAAGCCCCTTACTCCCACCGCATGTGCAATATCCTGTTTGTGCTGCCGGAAAACATCTGACTCGGCGGGTTTAGATCTCAGCATACAACACATACGTATTAATGGCGGAGGCGCTACCGTTCGGACATCTCTTGAAACAGAGAACCTCTGGTCTACGTCGACGTCGAGCGCCGTGCGCAGTTGGCTTGTTTGCCCAACAACAAGGGCGAGACCCCCCTACACGCGCTCGCGGGGGCAAGCCTTGTGGATTTCGCGGGCACCGGGAGGCGTCCCACGGGAGGGCGACAAGGGCTACCAACGCTGTCCGGGAGGACGTCCGTCGTGTCTATGCAAGTGCGTCGTTGGGAAAAGGCTTGTGCTTGTCGGATGACCGTAAAGATTGTTTGCACATTATCGACCCTCTCGCCCCGACAAAGCACGGACGAAACACGCCGGTTTCGTTGTTGACCCCGAGGTTTGCTCTGGTCATTGTGTAGATGTAAGAGCCTCCTTTGTTTTGTGTTGTTGTGCAACGTTTTTCGTTCTTCTATCTCGAGTCGTGATACAGTACAATCGTGGGAACAAAACAAATGAATCGGCACATAAGTGGTCGAGCCTTGCCTACATGATGCGATGGCGCTTGTTGTGAAGTTAAACGATCCCAACATTACAAAGAAAAAACGTTGCCACGGAATTCTGGCTGAAAATCACAACCCCCGAGCCCACGGATGTCTATGGACCCTGTGTCAACGGTAGAACTGCCGCATGCAAGACACCCGCTCGCGCCGCGCGGCAGAATACTTCACTGGTGCACATCCCACGCAAGCAACAACCTCGTGGCCGGCGCAAGCATGGATCTCCCTCCCGTCTCGATTGTTGAACATTAATCGTTAGAAGACGAGGCAAATCAAGACAAAGAAGGGCACACTCGAACATCCGGTCAACGTAACACTTGCACCCGTTTCCCCCGCTGACGTCTCCTCGCCCCCCTAACAAATGAAACGAAATGACAACTCGTGGGTTCCCCAACAAAAACGAACGGTGTAGCGTTTGGCAGCCTGGCTGATCGAGAGCGGGGCGGACCCCAATGAGCCGGACAACTCGGGCCAGACCGCGCTGCACGTGGCCATGGAGTGCGACAACCCGGCGGTCGTGTCTACTCTTGCGCGGAAGGGGGGCGACGTCAACCTCAAGCGCCCCTGCGATGGGCGCTCCGTGGTACGAACGAAGAATAGCGCACTCGAAAGAGTTGTTCAAACCAAAATCCAATGGTACCGCCATACACGCCGTGAAGTCGGAGAGCGGAAACACGCTGTGACACCACGCTATGAGCTTACCGGAGCTTTGATTTTGCTCGTGTCGCGGCAGTGGCATGATCGATCACTGTATCAGTTTGTTGAGTTACGAGCCTTGGAGCGGTTCGTACCCACAGGGACGACGGTCGAATGTTTAAGCATACTGGATGGCCAGCGTGGACCTTTCCATGGTGTAAAACCCTTTCCTCCTACCGTTGCATTTTCGGCCAACGGTGGACGCGCACCGAAGCCTATGCAACTGCATGATACTGAGTACCACTTAAACCCCCTTCCAGGTGTTTGTCGTCTGTAACATCGCCACACAATGCTACACCGAGGCAACGGCTTTCCAGATTTGCCGGTAACCACCGACAGAAGTCGAGTTAGATCGTGTTCTACGGGGGGCGTCGTGATAGCTCCGCGCAAGGCAGGGCATCAAGTCATGCTGTTCGCACATACCAAGGCACCCATGGTTCCGCTGGAGAGCACAAATTATCACGACTGCTGGCACATGGTCCCTCCAGAACCCAGTTGTATTGAACTTGTATTCCGCACTCAATGAAGGGTGCAGAAAGCACCGAAATCCGTGTCGCAATCGATTCACAATAGGATGAAGGTTGGCCCTTGTTCTACTTACCCCAAGACACCTCACTGTACTTGGTACTAGACGCGAGGAGGACCGATCGGCGAGCACGCCTACTGACTTGAAAGGGATGACTTGAAAGGGATGCCAAGTCTATTGCCGTGTCGTCTCGGCATTAATGGTTGGAGTGTTTGTTGTAAAATTTCCTTCCATCCACGGGCATGACTACACAAGTAATCCCAAAACGTGTGTCTTTTTCCACATCACATTGCCAGGTCACCCTGATGTGGTAGTAGTCAAAATGAAAGCGTGGACACCATCGAGCAAATATCGCCCAGAGGTGGTGACACCCTAGACGTTTCCTATTTGCAGATACCCTCAAGCTCAAAACCGACAGTCACCAAGTCTACCTCTGTGCTTGAGCTTTGAAAACGCACATTTTTCCATGCGGCAGCAGTGGTCCCGGTATAATGCCGGTGTTATCGTCTGGCACAGATGGAATATTCAAATTGTTTCATACTCTGAACAATGCCGGTTGCCCGCTAAAATGCCGGTTAGAGGGGATGGCACCTACAACCGCATTATTTCCGAGACCACTCCTGTACACCCATCGAATACATACTCCCTACTTGTACCCGTACACACCGACCCGTGCTTGCCAGATCACCCAGGTGTTGGAACAAGGACAGGGAATGGACCTCATCGAGCAGGTGTCATCCGCAGGGGTGACGACGAATAACCCACTCCTACCTCCCCCCGAGAAACTGTTCGGCTTCACGTACGTATCGTTCTTCATCGAGAAGACCACGTTCCCAGCCTCGAAGCACAACGCCGTCATGGACCTCACCACGCCCACTCCAAACGTCGGAGCGTTCTCGGCCATGACGGGGACCTTCAACTTTGACGGTAAGCATATAGTACACGGACTTCGTCTTGCGGGTTGTCTTATTGTTGTACTGTAGGCGTCAGGGCCATCGTTAGAAACCGAAGAAAATTGGCATCTGCCCTAACTGCATCGGCGGCGAAATTATGGTAGCAGGTGTGGTAATGAAGGACAGGCTCTGGCGGGTAGGTCATATATTTTTTCGCTTGCCTCCTGTACATTGATTGGTGGCTATTGGTTTAGACAAGCATAATTGTGTCGCCGCAGTACATGTGCACGACCCTTGGTAAAGTCAACATATCGATCCCAAACAAAGAACTCGTGTGAGTGGTCTCTGACATTTCCCGTCGTACTCAGTACATCGCGTTGAAACGCTGGCCGACGGGGTGGCAATACCAATTTGAACATGACGCATCAGCCCCGCTGACCAAAGCACCAATGACGGGCGCCAACCTTACCGACAACTGGAGAGGAGAAGCAACGGTAGCAAACCCATGCCGTAACCAAGATGTAGGGCGCCGTGGCGAAACCGAACAAAAAGACGCGTCGAGATCCGTTCGACATCCTAATGGCCGTAGGGACCCATGATTTTCGAAAGGTTCCTTGATGTTCTGCAAGTTGGTTTCGTCCATGAACATTTCGTTCCTCACTTAAGCAATAACGCCCGATGGATGCGCATGCTCACATATGTGCAGAACAAATCGTGGGCGGCGTCAGAAGTTCCCCCGTATTCAGCGATACTCATCTCTAGAGAGTGAGTCCCGCGTACCAGCGCTTCATTGGTCCACAGACGCGGCGGTACCACCCGCACGAAGTGATGCGTCCGTCCCGAAAGGGGGATCGGGGTATAAAACAAATGTCGGTATCGGATACATGGGTGCACCTTCAAGCATGGATTGAGTACAGCTCTCATGCATCGGAAACAGCTCCTCCTGTCTCTGTGCTTAAAGCTCGAAGTCAGAATTGGGCTCTCAGGTCAAGTTGATATTATCTCCTCCCTTCGTTTTTTTCTCAAGCCCCCCGCAGCGTAGGAGGACGAGCGGGCGGCACGGGAGTGCGAGATACGCTGAACAAGCCGGGCTACGCGAAGTCTACGATGGCCCGTTGGGGGACCAGGATCGGCCATGTTGTGGGGGCGGGCGGAGGGGTCGGGAGAGGGATGGGCGAGGCGGGGGTCGGGGGACCGGGAGGGGAGGACGGTCCGGACGGCGCCCATGGACCGCCCCCTCCGCTTGGGACGATGACGATTGATAGGGTCGTGGAACAGCTGTTCTTTGTGAGAGTTTCGGTGTACAATGCAAAGGGGAAGCTGTCGGAGGCTCAACAGGTAGGTATGGTACGGTCTGTCTGTTTCGGATGTTTTGTTACGGTCACATGGCCAACGACGTCCCCAGCGCTCCCCCCCTTCCCGCCAAGCGGCGTGTTTGAAGGTGTTGTTTCCTTCGGGCATCGCTGGCATCGCAAAAGCTCGATCTGCATTTGCCGTAGACAGTTGGTTGAATACACTCTCTTTTCGACACGCACGTACTACACATGCCCATACAAACGTTGAGGGGTATTGCTGCTCGTCACGCGTACTTGACCGTCCGTGGAACATCTGCAAATGCTGTGTCAGGATGTGACCGTCCCCATCATGACCAACCCCGAGTACCTGTGGTGGGCCCATACGTGGCACATGCAAACCCCCTTGGAAACGCTTGGCGCCGGGAGCTTTGTAGCTTTCGAGCTGAAAGAGAAGGTAGGAATGGGTACGAGGTGGGTGAAAATGATTGCCAGACCTCGTCTGGCGACAAGCAAGCCCGAACACAAAACTACAGAATGATCTTGGCAAACTTTGTGTCAGGATGTAACCGGCTCCATCATGACCAACCCGGTACTCAACACAAAACTTCCTCGAGAAACATTTTTGTCGCCCACAAATATCCAGACAAACCTCCAGGTGAAACATGCACAATGAAAGAACACCTAATAGTTCGTCAAGGGTTGACTGGGGTGAAATATTTTATAGCCTGCTAGGTAGATAACACGCTAGTTGGAGTACCAGCTACGTGCTCCCTCGTTCCCCGTAGGAAGATCAATAATTTTCCCCCAAATGAAGTCTTGTTTTCATCGAGATCCCCGCCAGTCCATATATGCCGACCTCACCTGATACGCGAAGACCCCACGTGTCGGTCCGAGCTGATGTACAGGGATGCAAGGCACCTGGCAATTCTCTGAGCAATTTTCGCCCGTGACCTGCCAACACTTCCGTGCGAGCTCAAAAAAAAAAGAACGAAATGCGCAAAAGGTCGCGTTCCTTCATGGGACATCAATCTCCTCATCCATCCACTGCCATGCTCGATGGCAACCTTCTCACCACCAAAACCTGGAAAAGAAACCCCGGGATTATCGCCGACCCCTCCCCCCCCCGGCGGCTCATACCGGCCGAACTGCAGGGCGAGCATAAGGAAAGGACGCTGTCTTGGGGCGCGTACCACCTCAACCCGGACGAGATCAACTCCAGGCCCGAGAGCCTCTGCGCCTACGCCGGTATCCCGCCCGCGTTGGTTCGCCTAGAACCCTCCGAGTTTAGCCTTGTCGGCGACGCCATCATCACCAAGGGTAACCCTTCTCCACCGGCGACCACCGGCGCCGCCACCGCCACCGCCGCTGCCGCTACTACCGACGATGAGGAGGCAGCAGTCGCATTGTCGTCTGCCGAGGGTGATCCTGTTTTGTCGTTGCCGTCCCCCTGCCCGGCGAACAACGCTGGTTGAACTGGGCAGGCGTGGTCCTCGCCTTGTTTGCCTCAGTGTTTAATGTCTTGGAGTTGAACAGCTTGTTCTCGTTTTTGGCCGTTCGCGCCGGGACCCTTTGAAACAGTCACTCAATTTGATGGGTATTAGTTTGCTCTCAGCTGCTCCTGGCTCATGTCCCCTCCCTGAGCGCCAAACAACCTACGAATCATTGAAGTAGTGCAGGGGGAGAAGAGTCCCATCATTTCAGACGCAGCTTCAAGGAAGGAGCTGTAGGAGATTAGGGAATCAAGAAGCTGGGACTGGGTATTTGCACTCGAATCACCACCCAGTCATGAATATGTTTCAACGCAAGGGGAGTGAATGTGCAATCTCTTCGTACAATAATCAGGGGTTGGGACGAATAGTATGGCGTGTTTGATGTTGCGATGCTTGGGGGGCAATACTGATCGGCCTGACTACGGTGGATTCGTGTCCGTTATTGTCAATGCGCAGCATGTAGTTCGATGTCGGTTTCAACTGAGGGAAAGAGTAGTTGTTGATGTGCTTTAGTGTCTGTTTTCGTGTTTCATAGTACGCCGCGCTAGGATTCTCCTTGCTAGAGGAAACGGTCATCTTGCCTTCATTTTTCACTTACCGGGAAAGTCGGGCGTACTTTGCAAGGAGGGAAAGAGTGACCTTCGTTGTTGCTCAGGCAACTCCAGGTCTTTTGTCTACATGTTTTTCAACAGATATATCAAGAACGGGGCACGAAATCAGGTGTCGTGTAGAGAAGAGTCGTGTGTGTGTGCGGGAAGGATGTCGTGAGTGAGAAAAAGAGAGTCAGAAAAATATACTATATATCTAGTCGCTGAAACCAGTCGTCGTTGCGTTCATAGGGTAATGTTGTACAGATGGCGTCAGCAAACGTATGCAAGTGCATATTCGGTCCTCCATCAGACAGGGAGTGAAAGTTTTTATTCCCCGCTTCTATCGCGAACGGCTCAGAACCCCGTGATGGTTTTTATCAAAAATCATGCATGCCGGGTTGGCGAAACTTTCTCCTTCTCACCTCGAGCTAATATGCGCTTACCCTTCGCCTTTCGACGGTCTCCTGCGCTTAAATTGACAATTCAAGATGTGTGGCTGCCTCCTGGAGGTAGAAGTTGGCTTCCATGGAAGTTGGGGTAACGTTTGCTTTCATGGAAGCTCGCCAAGTGACTTCCATGGAAGTATAAGGAAGTTAATTCCGTGGAAGTTACGGTAGGAGCGTTTCATGAGCGACTTTCGTGGAAATTTTTATCGGGTGGGTTTTCCGATCTTCTACACGGCCGCTACGGCGGAGTCGATGCATCGTCCGAGAGTAGCGCGAGGCCTCGCACAGGGAGCTCCCTCCTCGACTCAGTCGCTCGCCCGCTCGCTGTGCGCGCTCCATGGCGCCCCCCCGGCCGACAAAGGGGGCCCGCCGGAGGAAAAAAAATCATCGTGAGAGGCCCTTTTGACTTCGTTTTCCTCCGAAATCCCACCGAAACGCATGTACTTGATCTTCGAGTAAAAACCCTACACCAAAAAAAAATGAAAAAAATACAATTTTGTCTGATGTGGATTTAATTCCAGTCGTATATTTACGTTTATAGAAAAACTCATCAAAACTTCCCACAAACAGCCGCAAACACGAAACGAAAGAAAACAGAAACGGCGGCCATCAATCGTCCACCCGCCGCGCCAGCGTCATAAAACCAGAAGCAGAGAGGAAATAAATTTAACAGCACGACGAGCGCTTCGCTACAACCTCGGAGACAAAATCACGTCGTCACTCCGAACCTTCTGCAGTCAACGACGTTAGCTTGTAGCTACCCCCAAGGCGACGACAAGAACGTCCATGATAGAGAACGACACAGACCAAATACTGCTATTTATTATTGTAACGCTACTACAGTACAGACATTTCACAAAACAACGAAGAAAGAAACACGCAAAGCGCACAAACGGCCCTTACGGTTCAATCCTGAGTGGAAGGGTGCGGCTCTACCATCTACGATCTACGCGCCAACACATGGTCCAACATGGACCAGAATGGACACCATACAACGGTACCACATCAGAAGAAGAGATGATCACGAACAAAGTGCACTTCACACTGATTTCATCTGCGTGTGTTGGGGTCGTGAACGTCGGAAACTACTGTGGTAGAACGAGGACAGCACCCACGAGGACAGCACTCGCAGGTGATGCTGTCGCAGTGGACAATGTTCTTGCAGGCAACAAATTTGCTTTTTATGTCGAACTTGACAAACGCCTTTTTTCCGCCCACAAGAACGACGATTCCCCCGACAAGATATGCAAGTATTTCTAGCACTTCAAGTGACGAAGAACCGCCGGAAGTATCGCCCGGGATTGTTGGCGCCACAGTTCCACTCAACAAAGAACTATTTTGAGACGAGGCCGGCGTAGTTGGCGCCGGCGTTGGGTCCAGAGTAGGGAGACCTGAGCCATCGCTGCCGCTGCCGTTATCCGGCACCGCACGCTCTGCGGTTGGAGCAATCGTGGGGTTTCCGGGTGTAACGTCAACTGCTGGAGTGGGTGCGGTAGTTGCAACTGAAACAGGGGTTGGGGTTGGTGCTGGGCCTGGTGAGCTGCCGCCGTTGCTGCTGCCGCTGTCCGACACCGCACCCCCTGTTGTTGGAGCAATCGTGGGGTTTCCGGGTGGGACGTCGGCTGCTGGGATCAGAGTGGGTGCAGTAGCTGCAGCTTCAACTGGGATGGGAGTGGCTACCGTGGTCGGGACTGGTACTGGGCCTGGTGTTGGGGTCATACCTAGAGCTGATGGGGCCGGGCTCGTTGGGCTCGTCACGACGGTTGTCCCCCCGAATAGTTCAGCCGCCTGGCGAGCATCTCCCGCCCAGCTGCACTCCTCGAGATATGAGGAAGATGATATGTCATTGAAGTCGTTGTCATCACACTCGAATTGGTCAACGAGCGGCGCTTCGTACACCTCGTCTACACACGGGAGTGTGCCGGTGTCAACAATGGCGGCCACGCAAGGACTCATGTCGTACCCAGATTCCTCAGACGCAGCAATGAAGCACTGAATTCGCGACCATAGCGAGACCTCCTCCGACATGTACGTCGTGTAACTGCTCCCTGGATATGGGTCGCACATGCTACACGTGCAGTCGCTCGACCCGTCTACGCCTGAAGTCGATGCCCACAGCGCGCCAACGAAAAAAGTCGCTGATGGATAGTTGATTGCGCTCACTTCGCAGCCAATCGTTGTCGAATCGCAGGCCTCGCGGTCGTCCCACACCACCTCGTTATCTTCATCGAACGGGCTGATCCCCTGCAGCATGCACCCCACGAGGCATTCCGACGAGCTTGTGGCAGAACTGCTAACCGCTGATATGGCAGGGAACATCTCCACAGCCTGGCGAGCATCTCCCGCCCAGCTGCACTCCTCGAGAGATGAGGAAGATGATAAGTCATTGAAGTCGTTGTCATCACACTCGAACTGACCAACGAGCGGCTCTTCATACACCTCGTCTACACACGGGAGTGTGCCGGTGTCAACAATGGCGGCCACGCAAGGACTCATGTCGTACCCAGATTCCTCGGACGCAGCAATGAAGCACTGAATTCGCGACCATAGCGAGACCTCCTCCGACATGTACGTCGTGTAACTGCTCCCTGGATATGGGTCGCACATGCTACACGTGCAGTCGCTCGACCCGTCTACGCCTGAAGTCGATGCCCACAGTGCGCCAACGAAAAAAGTCGCTGATGGATAGTTGATTGCGCTCACTTCGCAGCCAATCGTTGTCGAATCGCAGGCCTCGCGGTCGTCCCACACCACCTCGTTATCTTCATCGAACGGGCTGATGCCCTGCAGCATGCACCCCACGAGGCATTCCGACGAGCTTGTGGCAGAACTACTAACCGTTGATATGGCAGGGAACATCTCCACAGCCTGACGGACAACCCCGGCCCAGCTGCACTCCTCGAGGGATGAGGAAGATGATAAGTCATTGAAGTCGTTGTCATCACACTCGAACTGACCAACGAGCGGCTCTTCGTACACCTCGTCTACACACAGGAGTGTGCCGGTGTCAACAATGGCGGCCACGCAAGGACTCATGTCGTACCCAGATTCCTCGGACGCAGCAATGAAGCACTGAATTCGCGACCATAGCGAGACCTCCTCCGACATGTACGTCGTGTAACTGCTCCCTGGATATGGGTCGCACATGCTACACGTGCAGTCGCTCGACCCGTCTACGCCTGAAGTCGATGCCCACAGTGCGCCAACGAAAAAAGTCGCTGATGGATAGTTGATTGCGCTCACTTCGCAGCCAATCGTTGTCGAATCGCAGGCCTCGCGGTCGTCCCACACCACCTCGTTATCTTCATCGAACGGGCTGATCCCCTGCAGCATGCACCCCACGAGGCATTCCGACGAGCTTGTGGCAGAACTACTAACCGTTGATATGGCAGGGAACATCTCCACAGCCTGACGGACAACCCCGGCCCAGCTGCACTCCTCGAGGGATGAGGAAGATGATAAGTCATTGAAGTCGTTGTCATCACACTCGAACTGACCAACGAGCGGCTCTTCGTACACCTCGTCTACACACGGGAGTGTGCCGGTGTCAACAATGGCGGCCACGCAAGGACTCATGTCGTACCCAGATTCCTCGGACGCAGCAATGAAGCACTGAATTCGCGACCATAGCGAGACCTCCTCCGACATGTACGATGCGTAACTACTCCCCGGGTATGGGTCGCACATGCTACACGTGCAGTCGCTCGACCCGTCTACTCCTGAGACCGATGCCCACAGTGCGCCAACGAAAAAAGTCGCTGATGGATAGTTGATTGCGCTCACTTCGCAGCCAATCGTTGTCGAATCGCAGGCCTCGCGGTCGTCCCACACCACCTCGTTATCTTCATCGAACGGGCTGATCCCCTGCAGCATGCACCCCACGAGGCACTCCGAGGCGGCCATGGCGGTCTGAAGAACCGCCGGGAGGAAAAACCATCCGGATAAAAGCATGCCTCCTGGGCACCAAGAGACAGCGTTCATGGGAGAAGGGGGTATGTCATACTTCGCCTCATCTATCTGTGTTCCTAGCCTTCGATAGCACATCTTGTTGCACGACCTTGGGTTATTACGACGAAACGTTCTGGAGGTTGCTGCCGCACATGAGTCTATCATGTTAAAATTGATGAATGAGTCGTTTGTTTGGGTGTGTAGCCCGAAATGGATTTGTCTCGTCTGCTCGCCATGCCACCTCCTCCACCATCGACCCTTTCACGAACATCTCAACATCATACCGAGACACGTCAGTGTCGAGTTCGATTTGTAGGGATAGGTGCACCCTTCGACATGGGCAGCAACGTATAGCTTCATCGCTTTTTATGCCTTGTCAGCATCTAGCTCATGGTTTTCGTCGCCTGAGCGATACAAAATTCCAAGTGACCTTCAGCTGCCCCAAAAATCTCGGGTCAAGAATGGTGCTGCCGCTGAGGTCAGGCTTTCCTCTACAAGCTGCTAACGGTACTTGTGTGAGAGCTGTTGTAGTGGTGCCATGGTATAGCCTGGAAAGGAATCTCGAAATTCCTCCCTGTAGCGGCCACGATAAAAAAAGCGGGCGGAGAAACCCAATGCTTTGGAGGCGCGTACTTTGCCGTACTTCATAGCTGAACTTTTTAAAGCGATCACTTATGCTTATTCTCGCGGACATACATGTGAAATGAGGTGCACACGAACCGCATGGTTGTGATGGAGTCCAAATCTGGCGCAAAGCTAATGTGAAAAAAGTCCATTTTTGGAAACCCCACCGAAATTATCCCGACAGGACACAACATGGGTCCGAAACAAGATAGAACTAGGGAACCCCCAATCTCCATGTTCTTGGGCCCGCTGACTGAGAGACAGCGCATGGAGAGGGTGGTCCGAATGGCATGCAATCACGTCCTTCTCTTCCTCCAGTACGCGGGGATACCATATCTTCAAGGTGGATGTGGTGCTCAGTATATATACTGAGTAGACCATGCTGCAAGAATGTACACACACACACACGGGCCAAGACCGGCGCCTCAACCTTCCTCCATAAATAACAGGATGGGTCGAGTAGTCCTCAAGACACTGCGCGAGTGCCATATGCCCATCGCCGTTGAGGATTCTTCCCCTAAACCACAGGCACTGGTAGGGGAAAGGGGCTGTACAAAATGGATTTGGTTATCCCCCCAGGATTACACGCAGGAGAGAAGGAAGAGGAACTCTGCACCAAGTCCATTATTTTAGATGTTACTATCGTAAATCCAATAGCAAATCGAAGCATCGACAAGTCCATTCAAACGCCAGGATCCGCCCTCGAAGATCGAGCTGCAGGAAAGGCAAATAATCACTACGCGGGAACTTTCAACCCGTCTAGATATTCCCTCCTGACTGGTGCTTTTTGGACATATGGTGGTCTTGGCAAAGGCACCAATCGACTCATCGATGCTATCGCCAACCACTTGGCGCACGAAGTTTTTTGCCGGGGGAATTTTGACGACGAAAGAGCCTAAGTTCGCCTGAAAGCTCTTCACACTAACAGGATTCGGAGACAGTTTACCTTCGAGCTAGCTCGTTTTCTGTCGATGCGAACTCGCGATGTGTTCAAACGTCATGGGCTACTGATCGACCAACTTCTACCAGGGCCAATCGGTTAGGATCTCTGTGACAACGATAGTAATGAGGGTAATTAATTTGGGAGCGACGGAGACGAAAGAAACGGAAAAGGAAGAAAGGAGGAAGAAGACGACGATGGGGGAGGAAAACATGGACGAGTGGAAGAGAGCAATGGGTTTGAGCCAGATGACTTTCCCCAAACAAAAGACGCAGGGCTAAGGAAGAACTACCAAGAGATTGTTGTCAACATGATGATCAGAATGATGGTAGCGAAACGTGGAAGACAATGTCCTAAACGAACTCGAGTACAAGGTAATAGCCTTGGTAGACGCGTGCAGTTTTCTTCTGTTGCTACCGTTTCTGTCTTCGATCCGAAGGATAGTTTAGCCTCCCCCATGCTGCCCCCTCACGCGGTCCCAGTTCATGGCAGATAGAAGTGTTTTGTGTTTTCAACCGCACTAAGGCTGACGTCTTTTCATTGGTGAGCCGGTTGGCGCGGTCGAGGCTAATAATAAAAACACACACGTACTAGGGCTAGACTAATTTCGGACTATATTATGGCGGCGAAATGCGGGGATACGTGCGGGAATACGAGGTGAGCATACCCACTTTTCCCTTGTTCGAAACCAACTTATGTCTGCCCTTGTGTACTAATGCTATCCCGCCCAGACATACGTTTCCCTAAACAACAGACGGCAGTGGAGGTCGGCCCTGTTCCGTTCAAATACGCCAAGCGTAAAGGGATGGAGCGAAATAGGAGCTCACCATCTTAAGGGATCACCACGACAAGGGCTCACTATCTTAGGGGCTTACCATATAAAGGGCTCACCGAAGTAGGGGTTCACCTCGTGGATGGTTCTCAAGCGGTTCATTATGTCTGCAGCCTTGATACCTACTCAGTATCACCTGGTCTGATACTCAGTACTATCATCCACCCATATACCGTATATGACACAAGATAACACACCCCCTGGACCGATTTTCAAAGCTCGATTACTCCACGACGAAGAGGATGCATAAACGAAACAATACGTTTTCGAACAGCTCTCGACGAGACGGTTCCAACGCCGCCGTTTTCGGCGCTGTGACTCTTCCTGCTGTAGAGAAATTGAGCTTTGAAAATCGGCCAAGGGGGTGTGTTATCTTGTGTCATATACGGTATGTGAATCTGAACGATACGCAGTAAAGCCAACCATGGTACCCGGCCTTGATACTCAGAATAAAACGTGCCTTCATAGTCATCGTCCGACCGGAGTATCACGTTAAGTTGATTTTTATGTCACACCGAATAAAACATGCCCTGATGCTCA